TACGCCTCTAGTGGTCCATTTCAGAATTGCAGTCACACTTTCCAGCCCTTCTGAGAGAATTTTAACTGGACATTTTTGTTTTTTTCGCACCACAGGTTAGTAATAATAATAATAATTATTATTATTATTATTATTATTATTATTAATAATTATTATTATTATTTTTATTATTATTATTATTGTTGTGTACAATTTATATTGCACCATTCTCAAACCCAAGGATGCTTTACAAAATAATAAAATAACAAAATACATAATCAACAATTACCACAGTTTAGAGTCACTTAGCTAGCCCACCCCCCCCCAAAAGTCCTTAGCCACAGGGGAAAGTCTCTCTACGACTAGAGTGCGTCACACAGGCAGCCAGCCCAGGAAGCCTCGAAGGCCGAAAATGTCCTTAGCCACGAAGGGGTAGCATTTTCCTACAGCCGAACAGCACCAGTCCAGGCAGCCTCACTCGAGTGGCCGGCCCTGACAGCCACGTAGCTGCGAGGTGGTGTCGCTTAGACAGCCAAACAGTGCTGGTCCAGGCAGCCCCACAGCTGCAGATCAGCGTCATACAAGCAGCCAGTCCTGGCGGCCACGTATCTGCGATGTCACGTTGATCAAGTCCCCGGTTCAGGCAGCCTTGCAGCCGCAATACAGCATTCCCTTCAGCGGCCGGTCCAGGCCGCATCATAGCTGTGATGTAGCATCACCCAAACAGCCAGACCAAGAAGCCTCTGAGCCATGGGTGGAAAATCACTCTTGGCCACTATCTTGGTGGAATGATGGCAAACTCCTCAGCCAGCCGGGAAACATCAAAACAATCACACAAACAATACAAAACAAAAAACGGCGTAAAGCAGCAGCCATATTGCGCCAGTGTACTTACAACAGAACGAACACCTATCGTGCTGTTCTCTGTCCTGGCACCCAGGTGGTGGAATGAACTCCCACTGGCTGTCCGAACAGCAGAGTCTCTCGCTGTCTTCAAACGCAGACTGAAGACACGTCTCTTCATACAGCACTTAAATGAGCACTGAGTTAAGGATTTAATGTAATGTATTGTACTGAACTTCTAGCAGTACCAGCTTTCTCTCTAACCTGTTTGTAACTAGCAAAGATACTTTCTCTAGGTAGACAAAGCACTTTTTGTAAGTCGCTCTAGATAAGAGCGTCTGCTAAATGCTGTAAATGTAAACGTAAATGCTATCGTCAAGTGGCTTTTGTGACAGATTCAGTAGTTCTTGGTGAAACGGCTCTTTAGATTGACATCTAAGGGATCCTTAAACATTATGCAGTAATAGCAGAGCCGGTTCTCTGGTGACGTACGTACGTCTCCCATCTCCAACAGTGCGGGGCTGAGAGCGCGGTACTGTGGCTCTGCAGCTAGACCCTTCTCCGCCTCCCAGCGAAAACTGGACATATTTGGATATACGCCAAAGATAATGGGCTGTCCTTTAACACTGATAGATGATCTCCTGTGGCACGGCGTGACCTGTAATTTATGACCGTTACTGCCGTTTGGTCAAGAGAGAGACGCGAACAATCAATGGGCCCTCAGGCTGTCCTTAAGGAAGGGGTCAAATTCTAGGGAGTGGCTGAATCCTGTTTTAACTGCATACCTTGTCGGGTTGCATTTGTAATCACACTAGATTACAAATCATTCTACCATAGGCAGAAATGCTATCACAGCAAATCAATAGAGACATACATTACCAAGCAAAATCAATGGATCAATAATGTCGTGAACAGTAAAGGGTAGAAAGGAAACAATCCTCTTTCACTTGTTTTCCAGCCAAAAAAAAGTCCAAAACCTGCCAATATGCACCAAAAACTGTACTAAAACAGCCAGGGGGCAGCATTTCTACCATAATACTAAATAACACAGCATCAGTGATAAGCTGAAGGATATTTTAACCTACCATATTTGTCTTTGAAAAATTGCAGGTGAGTATGTGTGTTGTCGTTAGATGGCACTGCTTCAGGAGCTAATCAGGTGCATTCTTGTGTGCTCTGTGGGGGTGGTGCCACACCTCCAAAAGTGGTGGGGCAATTGTTTAAAAGTAGTAGTTCTACAGTTACAGACTGTAGTCCATCTGTTTCTCTGATACTTTGTTAGCCCCCTTTTACCCTGTTCTTCAGTGGTCAGGACCCCCATGGACCCTCACAGAGCAGGGTACTATTTGGGTGGTGGATCATTCTCAGCACTGCAGTAACACTGACAGTGTTAGTGTGTGTTGCGTGTCCACTCACTGTCCACTCTATTAGACACTCCTACCTTGTCGGTCCACCTTGTAGATGTAAAGTCAGAGACGATAGCTCATCTGCTGCTGCACAGTTTGTGTTGGTCATACTCTAGTCCTTCATCAGTGGTCACGGGATGCTGCCCACAGGACGCTGTTGGCTGGATGTTTTTGGTTGGTGGACTATTCTCAGTCCAGCAGCGACACTGAGGTGTTCAAAAACTCCTGATCCACTCAGAGCAGCGCAACACACACAAACACCACCACCACCACCACCACCACATCAGTGTCACTGCAGTGCTGAGAATGATCCACCACCCAAATAGTACCGCTCTGTGAGGGTCCATGGGGGTCCTGACCACTGAAGAACAGGGTAAAAGGGGGCTAACAAAGTATA